GAAGCAGCAGACGGATCTGGTCGATGTGCTGAAGAGCCACGAGAAGATCATGATTCCGAGTGGCAACGCTCTGCCGCCTCCAGCCTATGGTGTTGTATGTGACATCAATGTACAGGGGCACGTGCCGATCAAACAGAAGGCTCGGCGGACCCCGCTTCGCTTCCTCGGTAAGCTGTACGAATTGCTGAAGGGTCTGCTGAAGGCCGGGCTTATCTCCTTCTCGGACAGCCCATGGGCGTCGCCAATCGTCATCGTCCTGAATTAGAATGGGGTGGATATCCGCCTGTGTATCGACTACAAGCTCGTTAATGCGATCACCGAGATTATGGAGTACGCGCTACAGGACATGGAGGCGTACTTGTGGTTTTGCTCGCTCGACGCCGCTAGCGGCTTCTGGGCCATTATGATGACCGAACGAGCTCGGAAGATCTCTGCTTTCGTCTGCGCACTAGGGCACTTCGAGTGGTTGCGTATGCCTTTCGGCCTGAAGAACGCACCGATGATCTATCAACGCATGATTGACAACGCGCTTTGGGGCTTCGTCCAACCGAAGGGAGGATGGTTTAAATTCTCGGAGCGCATACGTCTAGCTGAAGAACATGACAAGGAAGCTCATGCTGGGGTGAACGAGGCTTCGACTGGCGCGCCAAAACCATTCCGGACCAAGTTCGAGGCCGACCGAGATAACTCGCTTGGTAAGGGAGCTGTAGCCGAACTAGTCAACAGCCCTATCGCCGACATGTTCGCCAACGGGGAGCCCGATGAATCCTCGTTGACACAAGTATTCAGACGCCGGTCCTTCGTGGATGATATCTGTTTCGGTGCCGAGACTTTCGAGTCGTGCTTGGCGACGCTAGACCGATTGCTGGCACGGTTCGAAGAGTACCGTATTAGTATCAGCATCACGAAGAGCATCTTCGTGCAGTCCAAAGTAGACTTCCTGTCCCACAAAGTCTCGGCAAAAGGTATCCGACCGGACACTAAGAAGCTGGCTGGGGTGACCGAGCTTCCGTTCCCGTCAAAGAGGAAAGGAATGCAGTACTTCCTTGGGGCACTCAACTATTACAGTCGCTTCATCCAAGACGTCGCGGTCTATGGAGCAGCGCTGTACCAGCTTAAGGACGAGGACTTCCAGCCGGGGGTGACCTCACCGCGGCCAAGCACAGCTTTGCGATGCTCCGACAGAGGATCTCGGCAGCGCCGATACTACGACATTTTGACCGGAAGAAGGACGTACATGTTATGCTGTTTGCCAACGAGTGGGCTCTAAGTTCCACGTTGATGCAAGAGCACGAGGGCAAACTACACCCCGTTCGCTTCTGCGGACGTGTTTTGAAGGATGCTGAGATGAATTATCACCCGGCCGAGAAAGAGGTCCTCGCGCTTCTGCTGATACTGAAGGTGTGTTATACTCAACTCGTTGGACAGCGTGTCCGGGTCTGCACTCGGTTTTCGACACTCGACTGGGTCCACATTGTTCGGTCGGGCTCCCCAGTTCGCCGTCTTGCTGTCACCGTGGCACCTATTGGTCGAACGAGTCAAAGAAACCGACTGTTCGTTCGCCCAGCTACTCCAAGCCGGCCTGACGAATTTCGTTGATTTGGATAAGTCACTGGCGTTGATAACACCCGGACGCGAGGGCCACCGACTGCTCGTTTGGACCCGCGTCTGCTCTACGCACGCCTACCGCAGTCCTATCGAGGCTTCGTTATGTCGTTTGACGGGTCTGCGAAGACCAAGAAGAATGGTGGATATGGCAGTTGCTCGTGGATACTATGGAAGCTACCAGAGTCGACTGTAGTGCTTGCCGCGAGCGCTTACCTCGAGAACACCACGGTCAACCTCGCTGAGTACACCGGAATGAACAACGGCGTCTCTGCTGCATTACAGCATGGAGCCGACGATCTAGTCGTCGTTGGCGATTCGAGGCTCGCGATCCAGCAAGCCCTAGGGGTGGTAGCCTGCCGGAAGGGGTCATTGCTGCAACAACTCATTCACCACAAGAAATCACGGCCAAACTGCGGTCGGTGAAGTACCTGCATGTGGTGAGAGAGTTTAACGCTGCGGCCGACTCTCTGGAAAACGAGACTCTCGAGTGCAAGAAGTCTACGGTGGTATCGTCGGACGACCGAGTATTAGAGCTGATGAAGCTGAACCGTATCGCTGAAGTCATCTACGAGGTTGCTGACGGATGCGTCGTCGAGGACATACCCTCGGCCAACACAGTATGGGCTGTGGTAGCTTCTGCCAAACCTCGTAGCAAGAATTTTTTCGCTTTTGTGCGAAGAGAAACCGACCACAGACGGCAGAACGAGACTGAACCCGGACATGTGGCTGTGATGACCAGACGGCACGCGAGAGCAAAGGCGAAACACGCCCGGTTTGCAGATGAAGTCTCGGTCACCGATCAGGGAGATGCATCTCACCGAGTAGAAGCCAATGGTGTGCCGAACGAGTCTCAGAATGAAGCAGAAGCTTCACCGCTGCGTGCCGAGACGTCACCAGCCCCACCGTACGCAGAAGACATTGACCCGCTGGTAGTACAAGGAGAACGCCGAAGGAGAATCGCCACCGCTCAAGATGAAGAGTTACGGTGGTCGAATCGGAAGGCAGTGCTACGAGGAGACGATGCAAAGATTGGATACAGAGCAGCACGAGATGCATGGAAAATGGCGGACCAATGTGTGTTGAGCGAGGACGATGTGCTATATTACACTAGAACGAGCCGTCGTTCAACTGACGACGAGCAAGCCGAGTTGAAGATGAGCCACAACGATGATCCAAGAGGTCCTGCAAAGCTGTCATGACTCACTCGAAGGCGGTCACCAAGATATTACTCGTACGCTACATCGAGCAGCGAGAGACTATTACTGGATCGGGCAGTATGCCGATGTGGAGAAACACGTTAAGTCGTGCCCTGACTGCAGTTCAAGTAAGAGCCGACCCCAGTTCCGCGGGTACTCGCCAGGGAACATCCTAGCCGAGAGGCCCTTCCAACTAGTCTCTATGGATTTCGTGATACCGCTACCGAAGAGTCGCCGTGGCAACACGGCTCTCCTGCTGTTCCAATGCTCGTTCACGGGATTCGTGATGGGCAAAGCCATGTCTGACACTACCGCCTTACGCGTTGCGCAAGCTTTCGAGGAGTGTGTCTACCAACGTTTTGGGGCACCGTCCTTGATCCGTCATGACCGAGATCCTCGATTTATGAGCCTTCGCAGCAATGATGCAGTCTCGGTCGAGAGCGACCCTGAGCTACCGACCGCAGGCCAACGGTCAGCAGGAGAGATCGGTGAAGACGATCATGCAGTCAGTCCGCGTATACGCTGAAGACCCATTGCAGCAGGATTGGGACGAGATCGCCGAAAGACTGATCTTCGCCATCAATAACTCCCGTGATACGACGAGGAAGGAAACTCCGTTTTACCTCGTTCATGGGTGGGATGCACAGTCGACGCTCAAGGCAATGTCCGCGTCGCTCAAACGAGGTTTCGGTAGCCAAACTGACGCGCTAGCATGGCGCCGAGAGGTCAACCGACAGCAGGAAATCGCCCTGAGGATGACCAAGGAGTACCAAGCCGCGGAAAAGGCTCGGAGAGCTGAAGAGCACAATGCATCACTTGGAAGGAAGGAGAAGGAGCTACGGCAGGCGTCGGCGAGAATAGAACCTCGGTCGACCGAGCATCGAGTTCCCCTGACCATGGTGGAGCTACAGTGACGAGAACGAGGCTTGCTTTGCAGCCTGGGAGCAGAGTGTGGCTGTACATGGAGCGGGTTCGACCAGGACTGAGCCCATCGGTGGCACGGACCGTTCCGCGTGAAGAAGAAGGTCGAAGAGTTTGCGTATGAGCTGGACCTACCCGACCGAAGTGGATACCGGTTCTACCCGGTGGTGCATGTTTCACGACTCAAGTCAGTGGACGAATTCGAAGGCCGACCGAGGGTTCGTTTGGCTCGTGGGGTCACCGAAGACACTCGTCTTGACTTCGACGAGGAACTACTGCCTGAAGACAGTTTTGAGCCGGACCACCTGGACGGTGAGTATGAAGTCGAGGCTATCCTCGATGACCGGACACCGTTGTCAACGAGCACTCACCGGGCCGTCCGAGAGTTCAAGGTGAAGTGGGTCGGCTATGACGAGCCGACATGGGAACCAGCGTCCAATCTGTCGTGCGGTGGCCTCCTGTACGATTACCTGCGCCGGAAACGAAGCGACCGACGTTTGCAAATGGTCCAAGTGGCCGACGAGGAGTAATTCTGCGCCTCAACGAGGATTGAACTGCTCGCGGGGGGAATCCAGCCCGCGATGTCAGACGAACGAGGCTACTGGAGACGACTATTGACCTGCCTGCGAGGGCTATCCAGCTCGCAAGGACAGACGAAGAATGCTACTGGAATTTGCATGCTGCATGTAATGTGAACGAAACAAGACAAAACGGAGACGTGGGGGTAGCTGAAGACGCGAACAAACCTCGGTGAACCCCATAGTAGATGAAACAAGTGATGGCGAAGCTGAAGGAGGGGTGACCGAGGTTTCGAACGCCGTTATTGAGCGGTAAAGGGGTGTGCACCGGTGCGTCAGACGTCGACTTACGCTTATATATGGACCTATGATGGATGGAGATTTTGAAATGGAGCTAAAGACGATAGAAGACGAAATGGGGCCTTGGTCGGAACCCCTGCAGGAGAAGGAAGTGACGATTAAGCTAATGAGAGGGCAACCCAAACTTCGTAAGCAGCGCTTCATACGGAAGGGATCCGATTGTGCTTCCCAAGCTGACGGGTGAGTATTAAGCTAACGACGAAGTGGTCAGAGAACGGGGGAGTGTCATGGCTACGAACCGATCGTTAGGCGCAGCCACAGCGCTCAAGGACCGAGATGAGACTCTGGGAGCCGCGACCGGGCATTGGAGGTGGAGAATGTTAACGCGAGCAGGAGTGACGAAATGGAACAAACAACATGACATTATTTTGGATTGGGATAGCACATGCAGTGTCGCCTAAGGCGCCACGAACCTCGGTCGACATTGGAAAAGAACGTGTACGAAACGGTGAAGCTGAAGCGGGGTCTAACGAGGCCAAATCTTCACCCGACTCCTTCGTCTCCTCATCGGGGCTTGGAGAGCAAGAACGACGGGCGTTTGCGAACTCGGCCACCCATGGAGCGACCACCATCGAAGTCCGCAGAGAAGATTCAACCACGACCGACGACGCCATGGTCTCCCCAGTCGATCCGTTGGGGACGAACAACGGGACGTCGTTGCAAGGGGCGAAAGCCGTGTTGTAGGGGTGGTCGGCCGGCGCTTGGAACCAACAGTTACGCCACGGCTCGCGGGCGTCCACGTCCGCCACCTCGGGGGCCCAGTCGTCGGTAGTGGGGACCGACTCCATCACCTCGAACGAGTATTGCAAGTACGACGGCTCCAGCAAAACCTCGGTGCGGTGCTGTGGAGGTTGTCCGTCGTACGTAATGGTCCCATTCCACATCCTGTGGAGCATCTGGTCTCGCAAGCGATCTGCACGATAACTGCGCTCTCGGTGGTACTTGGACCACGCTTGTCGAAGCGCTAGGACTTGCACGTTGCGCTGACCGAGGGTTCTGGCGAGGTTATCGATATACGCCTTGACGGCTTTACCCCTAATCCAGTGGCGTCGCTCCCACAAGGCGAAACCAAGGTCGCCCTTCTCGGTGGAGTGGTAGGAGTACCCCGGAACTGCCGCCATAGGCGAACGAGTAGAGCTCGACCAGTTGCACGACGGGATATAGCCACCGAGGATGGGAAACCCGTCGTGTTGATCAAACAAGACTCATCTGGGAAAAGCTGGCGCAACACTTGGAAGGGGTGAGCGGGATC